CATAAGTTCAGAGATAATATAGGTCCCCTTAAAAATAACTATGGCATCTTACAGACGACAGAGAATGAAATGGCTCGATTTAAATAATTATTTTATCTCTCGTTTTTTACACAGGAGAGACACTAATAATATTCACGTAATTAATTTTTATAGTGTGATCATGAAGAAGATAAATTATGTAACATCACAGTCCACTACTAGTAAATGGTTGTGAAGCAGATAGACCGACTGAAGCAAAACAAGTCACCGTGTCCTGAGAGGTTTTTTCCAAGGGTTCTTAGAATTGCAAAATGGAAGTCCTGTGAACCATAACTAATGAATATTTAATTTTATCACTCAAACAGGTGTAGTGTCTGAGATGTGGAAGATGGCTAATGTAATACCCTATATTTAAAACAGGGGAACCAAGTCGTTTACCGTCAATTACCGCCGCAATAAGCCTGACGTCAGTAAGGCAATTACTAGAGTCCAATTTATAGCTTAGATATAAGAAAGCCATCTCACCGATAAGCATACTGCTTGATTAAGATACTCAGCATGGATTCACCAAGAGGCCGGTCTTTCTAACTAATATATTGACTTTCTTCAGGTAAAGCTTTTGAGGCTGTTGACCACGATAAAGAATTTGATATTATTTACTTAGATTTTAGTAAGGCATTTGATAGAGTTCCGCACCAAAGACTGTTGAAGAAAGTAGCAGCTCATGGCATTGGGGGAAGGGTGCTCTCGTGGATCGAATCATGGCTCACAGACAGGAAGCAAAGAGTGTCCATAAATGGGGTTAAATCCGAGTGGGGATCAGTAACAAGTGGCGTTCCACAGGGATCAGTCTTGGGCCCGTTGTTGTTTATAATATATATCAGTGACCTTGATGAAGGAATTACTAGTGATATGAGCAAATTCGCCGATGACACGAAGATAGGTAGGATAATTGATTCAAACGTAGATGTAAGGGAACTTCAGGAGGATTTAGACAAACTCTACTCTTGGTCAGAAAAGTGGCAGATGCAGTTCAATGTAGATAAATGCAAGGTTCTGAAGCTCGGGAGTGTCCATAACCCTAGCACTTATAAGTTAAATAATGTAGAACTTAACCATACAGATTGCGAAAAGGACAGCAATGCCTAAGCGTACGTAATAAGGCAAATAGATTACTGGGATTTATATCAAGAAGTGTAAGCAACAGAAGTCCAGAGGTCATACTGCAGCTTTTACATCATTAGTAAGGCCTCACCTAGATTATGCAGCTCAATTCTGGTCGCCATATTACAGAATGGACATAAATTCGTTAGAAAACATTCAGCGTAGGATGACTAAATTAATACATAGCATTGGAAATCTTCCTTATGAAGAAAGATTGAAGACTCTTAAGTTACATTCACTTGTTAGACGAAGAATGAGGGGAGACCTGATCGAAGTGTATAAGTGGAAGATAGGTATTAATAAAGGGGATATTAACAAGGTCTTGAGGATATCTCTCCAAGAGAGAACCCGCAGTAATGGATTTAAATTAGATAAGTTTAGATTTAGAAAGGACATAGGAAAGTATTGGTTTGGAAATAGGGTAGTAGATGAGTGGAACAGTCTACCTAGTTGGGTTATTGAGGCTAGGACTTTGGGTAGTTTCAAATTTAGGTTGGATAAATATATGAGTGGGATGGGTTGGATTTGAGTGGGACTTGCACATCAGAGCTTATTTCTTGGGTAGCATTGAAAATTGGGTAGGTCAAATGTTTGTTAGTGGGATGAATTGTGAAGGACCTGCCTAGTATGGGCCAACAGGCCTGCTGCAGTGTTCCTCCTTTCTTATGTTCTTATGTTCTTATGATAAGTTTAGATTTAGAAAGGACATAGGAAAGTATTGGTTTGGAAATAGGGTAGTTGATGAGTGGAACAGTCTACCTAGTTGGGTTATTGAGGCTAGGACTTTGGGTAGTTTCAAATTTAGGTTGGATAAGTACATGAGTGGGAGGGGTTGGATTTGAGTGGGACTTGCACATCGGAGTTTGTTTCTTGGGTGGCATTGAAAATTGGGTTGGGCAGGTGTTTTGTTGGTGGGATGGGTTGTGAGGGACCTGCCTGGTGTGGGCCAACAGGCCTTCTGCAGTGTTCCTCCTTTCTTATGTTCTTATGTTCTTAAGTACTGGTTTTCTAACAGAGTTGTAGATGCGTGGAGCAGTCTTCCCAGTGGGGTGATAGAGGCTAGGACCTTGGGTAGCTTTAAGAAGAGACTGGACAAATATATGAGTGGGAGGGGCTGGGTTTGATTGGTGTTGGGGGGTGCGGGAGTTGTTTCTTGAGTAGCTTTAGGTAGATGTCGTTTTGATAAGGACCTGCCTCGTATGGGCCAGTAGGCCTTCTGCAGTGTTCCTACATTCTTATGTTCTTATGTTCTTATATTAGTGTAAGAGGCGGTGTGTTTTACACGTGTGTGTGCGCGCGCGCACGTGCATAGTTTCTGTGTCTTATATAGTTGGTGA